GAACAGGCGGCTCCGCTTGGCTGAGGCACCCGCAGAACCCTGCTGCCAAATTACCTGGTTTAATCTTTTGCCACTTGCACACAGCTCTTTACCCACGTTTTTAACAGTCTAAAAAACCGCATCCTGCTCATTTGCTTCCCATGAGGTTACAGTAACGAACTTGATGTCATTTGAGCAGGACAATTAAACCGCTGATGAAACCTTAGACAGGCAATAGATACAGGATTACTTTCCGCAGAAACAAGCATCACCGCGCTACAATGTAATGAAGCTGTTGCTTGCAACCATTTCAGGATGTTGTCGCAGCAAAATACATTTTTCATTTGATTTTTAACGGTACAGATTAATTTCTGGAGCTTCAAAATCCAATGAGATGTATTTTGAAGCGCCTGCTCTTCATTTGTGGATTTGGGAGCATGAGAAAGAATGGGAGACATGCCTGACTGCTGCAGAGAGGCCTTGGGGATGATTCCTCGAAACCACTAGGATGCCTGGCTGTTTTAAAAAGACTTTATTTGCCTTGGCTTCTCTAGTAAGTTTTGTATCTTTTATCCTGATTGTTGTTGCAATGGGGACCCCAAAGTGGATGACTGGGAAGATCCTTTGCAAAACAGGAGCTGAATTGGTCAATGCCACGGATCCAGAGCTGGTCAAGTTCATTGGAGAAATTTACTACGGACTTTTCCAGGGTGGCAAAATTCGGCAGTGTGGGTTGGGCGGGCGCCGCTCCCAGTTCACAAGTAAGTACAGTTTTGGCTGAATCTTTAGTCTGATGTCTAGTTCAACTTAAAGGCGTTCTTTTCTTTTTATTTACAGACTGTATAGAATGCAAATTGCTATTATTAAATTTGTATTTGTGGCCGACTTGTGGTCTTTATGGTTCGGGATCTGAGTGCAAATGTAAAATATCTATCACTTTGGGCTAACTTTTTTCTACCGGTTGTGTTCTGTAATATCCTGGAATCAAGATGAGGGGCAGGAGGAAAAAACCCTAGGGATAGATTAAGGGTTTCCTTTTGGCCTTGTGAAGGGAGTGAAAGTAACTTGGAGATTAAATGGAGTTAATACCTTCCCATTTACTGACTTTCCTATGCCAAGTGTTACTCTGCAATCTGTCTGTCCTTCTGTCCTCACCTTTTCTGTTGAACTCCTCCCCCTTTTTGTTCCTTTAGGAAGTAGAGATTTGTTTAGCTGGCCAGATTTCTGCATTTCTCTAGCTCTCCTATTGCAGCTGCCTGCTACAGCAGACACTCCTAAATTTATTAATGTGTTGAAGACATTTTTACCTTCTTTCCATGTAAATTTGGAGAGAAAAAAAATGCTGAACTCTTAAAAGGAATACATTTGTAAGAATTTCTACGTTTTTTTTATCTTAAAAGATTTTCCTGAGGTCTCAAAAGCACTCAGACACTGATAATGATTTACTTTGGGTGATTTCCAGGATTTGCACATCCTGTGTTGTAGTGGAAATGTTATTTTGCATGGATGATTTTCTGTTCAGTGTGCAGATCCACCACAATTTAAACTGATATGAGTTGAAGCTGCTGCAGCCTCATCCCCTCTGTAGCCCACAGCAATGTTGTCTTGCCCCATTCTTTGCAATGGCTCTGGGAGTTGTTGCGGTGAGGTTGTTCAGGAAGTTAAGATGGCCAAAAAATTAATATACCAAAAAAAACCCATTAGTTTCCCCTAGGATTATGGCTGACTACACAACTGTACAGCACCACTTGAAGGCAGGCAGGACTGTGGGACTTCAGAGGGAATGGAGAAGAGAACCAGAACAACCTTAACTTGGATCAACATGACCGGTTGTTAAGCTGAGATGAATGCAGACTAGTCACTTGTACAATAACCAAGTCTTGCTCAAGCTCTGACTGTAGCTGCAACTTCATGAAGTTGCTCGGCCACTGTCC